AAGATAAATTATGTCAAAATAATAAATGTGTCTGCTTGAAAGAGGGTTTAACATGCTGCAGCGATTGTTCCTGCAAAAGTTGTCAAAATAAAATTCCTGATTTATATGAGGATGACGAAGGAGAAAATATTTAAACTAACTTCATAAAAAAGGATTTAATCATTTAGTTTATGTTTATAGATTTTTTTATTTTATTTCTTGATGTAACGCTAACGCACTAACGCAGATGATTTCCTGAATAGTAGCCGCTAGCCGCTTTCAGCATCAGAGCGCATTTCAAAGCTCCCGGATAAAAATTCATATTTCTATAACCGTTAAAGTTAGCGACTTAATTTTTTTTTCAAAAACTTCGACAATTTTTTTACTACATTTGATTCGATATACAGGGTGTCCCAGGGAAAACAGTCCACCCCGATTTATTAGATTTGGGATAAGAATCTGGGAAAACGCTCGGACACGTCGATGTTTGATTTGAGGGGGAACTATTTTTCAGTTTTTTTCATCCCCGTAGCTTCAACCCCCTAGCCAGGGGGAGAACAACCCCTAAAATTTGAATAGGGAATAGGGGTCGTGTCATACCTCTTTTTAAAGGTCTCATCGAGTTCTTTAAGGCCCTAGAATTTCATTTCATTATTTTCATCCGTGATGAAATGACAGATAGTCAAAATCTTGTAAATAGACTATTGTTTTAGTAGGAGTAAAGGCGGTACCTATCTCTTTTAATAAAAATACGTGTAAAAATACCTACAATTTACAATTTTCGTGTCCACCTCATTAATAATAATTAAAAAAACCTCAATTTCAAGTATTTTTATTAAGGATCTGATGACCCCCACTAAAACTAATGGGATATTTCCAAGATTTTGACAAGCTGTCATTTCATTACGGATGAAAATAATGAAACAAAATTCTAGGGCCATAAAGAACTCGATGAGACCTTTAAAAAGAGGTATGAGACGACCCCTATTCCCTATTCAAATTTGGGGGGTTGTCCTCCCCCTAGCTAGTGGGTTGATGCTACGGGGATGAAAAAAACTGAAAAATAGTTCCCCCTCAAATCAAACATCGACGTGTCCGAGCGTTTTTCCAGATTCTCATCCCAAATCAAATAAATCGGGGTGGACTGTTTTCCCTGGGACACCCTGTATATGTATAGAAATTTTCAATTATTCCCATGGCTCGCCGCAGGGTGAAGTTTTAGATGCACGATATTGATAATTCTATATTCCTAACTTTTTAACAAAAAAACCTCAAACCTTTTCGAAATTTCTGAACTGTCATTAGAAGCGCTCATGTTTCAAGTATAAATGTGCAAAAAATCAGAATTTTAGATTGTATGCTTTAATTAATACAGCGGGTAATGTTTAGAAAAACGTAGTTTTTCAAATTCAGGCTCAGTCACGTTTAAGGGCCGATTTCAAAGTTCAGTCCTACTAAAAAAAGTTGTACATTCCCATTTCCTATGCCCCAGAGTGTCCTCTACAAGATGATATAGGTTTCATCTGGTTATACCTCGGAATCACTCAAAGTCATAATTTCATTGTGATTTTACTCCACTACTACGTTACGAGTTGAAGTGCGTTCAAGAATTGTTATGATCGAAGTTGGATAAGGTTCTCTTCGTCTATCATGAACGCAGGTCCGTTGATAAGCTCGTATAGTTTGATGGCAACTGTGACTAAATGTCATCTTATTTCTCGAATTGAATTTAGTTAGTTAGTTTTTATTAATGAACATTGCAAATCGTGATAGCGGGCGTAAAGTAAGTCAAACAACAGAATTCTTCAACTTTCAAGGACAATAAATTAATTTGATCTTCTTCTCTCCACTCCATATCAACAACAAAAGGGTAGGTGCGCACTAAGGAACAAATGTTTTGTAATGACTGTAGTCTCCGCTACTAACTGCATTCGCCATTCGACGACTGACTGCTCTAGAAGCGGATAGGCGACTATTTCGCGGCGAATTTCAAGCCCCGTTTTTTCTCCACGGTCGCCAGTCGTCAGCGACTACGACCCAAGTAGCGGCGACGGATTCGCCATGAACTTTCTGTTCTCCTCCGGCTGGTGACACCACGAATTTAGTTTTAAAAAAATGGACGAGGCTAGAAGAAAATGTTTAATTCTTTTGTTGCAAAATTATCAAGATGAGGAAATTATACAACTTAGTTTACTTCAAGAACGCGAAAAAAGGAAAGACATTTTACCGATGTTTAAAAGAAAAAAACTGGAAGGATTTCAGTCAATTTTAATAAGAAATCATTTAAGAGATAATGAAACGAAGTTTAAACAATTTTTTAGAATTTCACGTTATCAGTTTAATAACATATTAGAACTCATACAAAGTGATCTCACGATTAATCCATATAATCGTGTGGAGGAAACAATAACCATATCAGAGAAGTAAGCAATAACATTACGGTAAGATAGACTGCAATTTATAGGCTTTATCTTTAGGGTCATAAATTTGTGTATAACCAGACATTAAATGAAAAAGTTGTTCATCTTCAGTATTTGAAAAAGTAGGTATCCATTTTTCTTATTCACCAGCAAAACCATCAAATTTCAACGCAAAACACGTGTTAGTTTATCGGAAATTTTAGAAGAAGAAATTTTTAAAAAAGTTGATCGTTTTCGAGATATTGATAAACGCATTCCTGACCTTTGACCCTCCGTAACGACCCGAATAATCAGCGAATCGATGGAAAATGTTCGCCAATTATTTAGACCCATAACAACAACGTGTAGGCAAAAATTCAGCCCTTTAATTTATAGGTCAAAATCTGGAGCATAGGGCTTACCACTCTTCGCGCTCTATCTCAAGAACGGTTCATTTTATAAAAAAAAGTTTAGGAATTTTATTATCTCTAACTTTTGTAATAGGTGTTAATATCGTTGGAGCTATAGGAACCGAGATAATCGCAAAAAAACGATTTTTGTCACCTTTGACCTGCAATAACTAAAGAAGCCTTGGCTACATTTATTGTGACTTTTGGGACAACTATTGTTAGAACGTCAAAATGAAGCTGCATACCAATTTTCAGCTTCTTACCTAAAAAACTGGTAGGTGCACCCTTTTTTATACTTAATTAACTGCACTATACAGGCAGTGTTGCCAGATGAATTTAAAAAAAATCGTGAGAATCGAGAAAGAAAAATCGTGAGAAATCGTGAGACTAAAAATTGCTTAATATTGTAAGAAAATAAAGCACAACAATGTTTTTTCATAAATTTTTGACAAAGTAAACATGATTTTACATCCATAAGTAATAAACATTTTATTATTAAATCTTGTATCCTTGTTTTTTTTCGTTTTTTAGCAGGTGTTTCTGAGAGCTGAACCTCGTTTTCACTATCCGCTATCCGCAGGATTGCTCATCCTAATAAGTCGTCGATTCTCGAGGCGGCAGCTGGTCTGCGAGGGACGTCACCACTATTAGCAACTGATAGTGGTGACGTCATCCGCAGACCTCAATGGATTGTTTGAGATTCAGGCTGTGCTTGTGAGTTGATTTTTTTGGGAATTTTAAATTTAGAAAAGGTGATTTCACGTTTATGAATCCGTTTTTTGGACTCGGATAATGCATTTTCTTCCAAGAGTTGAGGTCTACAGCTGACGTCACAGATAGTGGGGTCTCGTGGACTTGGCAAACACTTTCAGCTCAGTGCATTTCTATATTACATTAAGTGTTCAGGTGCGCATGTACCAGGAGCGGCGTAACATAACTAAATATTGTATAGTAGATTTTTATTTCGATTATTCTCAATTACATTATATTTGATTAGTGATTTGATTTACTACAGAGAGAATTCGTGAGAATTGCTACCTCATTCGTGAGATCGTGAAATTCTGACCAAAATCGTGCAATCTTACGAATAATCGTGAGATCTGGCAACACTGTATACGGGGTGTCCCACTAAGGTCAACGAGGAGGAAATTGTTGGATTCATTCAATAGCGGTAGATGGTAGATAAGTTAAAAGATGTTAACTTTATTCGTTTTGCAGAAAAAGCATATTATGGAAACCATAGACTTTACGTAACTTGAGAACGAATGCAGATATTGAATTGCGGTTTGCGCCAAATTGTAGATATTTTTATTTTACTCTTTAAGCACAGCAATAAAAAAATAATATCATGCCATTTGGATTTTTCAAGAAAATTAGAAAAAAATGTATCTTGGTTGAACAGCGCTCTCTAGAAGACGCAATGGGAACTATCGACTCCAAACGAAGTGGTGTTCTTAATAACATGAAATTCTCTTTCAAATAAGCCTAAATTGAATGAGTTTGGATAAGGGGTATGGAAGATACAGCAATTTTTAAAACTATTTTTTCACCAGCTTCCACCACCCTTATAAGTGAAGATACGAAAAAAACCTAATAACCAAACTGGCGCAAAAATTAATGAACTTTTGATTTCTTCTGTTAAAACAGTATCTTAATATAGCGATTTCTTGAGAAAACTTGAAAATAATTTCCAAATCCCGAAGCCCTAAGGTCTATGGTTTCCATAATATCCTACCTTGTCGGCCTTAGTGGGACACCCTGTACATATAAGAAATCCAAATTCCTTGCCAAGCAAAAATATGAAAACATTGATCGAATAATGGTCGACCCACTGTTTTTAAATTGCATCCATATAAATAATACCTATCCATTCAAATTCATTTAAAAAGTGCATCTACTAGGATTGGCATCTTGGGATCAAGATGCTGATATTCTGCTCGAGCTACATTATTGTTATTTTTGTTATATAAACGAATTATATATTTCTAATTTTTCTTCTTCTGTATACCCGATTTCACTGACGAAGCAAAGGAAATTATTTTGTTATGCGATTTGGTAAAACAATTAAATCCATTTTCTAACGCAAATACATATTATTTCCAAAACGAGTGGAAGAAATAGCAACATATTATATATTTTTGAAATCAGGAAAAGAATGTCTATTCGATTATTAAAAAATATACAGGGTGTTCCATTAAAAAAAAAACAAATTGTGCATGTCACATCCTTTGGATGAACTCTGTATATTTAAAAGTTGTATTTTATAGCGCTTCTCGTTCTCTATTCCTATTTACTTTGTACTTACATTTTTTTTTCTATCTTGCTTCATAAGCGAGCTATATGCTATCTAAATATACGGAACAACCCTGTACAGATTTTGAAGTTCCATAATGGTGATATTGACATTTGAAAGTTGACCAGTATACATTTTAAATGCCAATAAAAGCAGTTGAAGTTATAAGAAGTTTTATAATTGTTATTTAGCAACTCTAAACATCAGAATCAATAAGATAAGTGAGTATGTTTCTTTTGCCAAGTATAATTTTTGCTTAACCTAAAAAATTCAGTCAAGAATGGACAGGTCAAAGCAATTATTAAAGAAACACTTTTCGATATAATATAACAAAAATTTGTTTCTTAATCCCAACCTTGTGACATTTATGTTTTATGAATAATGCATTATGTTCAATAAATAATGAAGGAAGGAATATATACATAGTAGGTGAAGCATCATATAAAAAACTCCTATAGCGAGGCAAATATTTGAAACTCAAACCAAGACACTTTCATATCAACTTTAAAATAATGTTAAAATGACCTATGTTTGGCCCAGTTTTGTTTTAAAAGTTGATTATGAAAGATTATGAAAAATTTCAAACTACTTAATTCTATAAAAAAGTTACTATTTTTATACAATTTGTGTACTCTTAAATAATAATACTTGAGATTCATGAACTCAGCCTCTCTAACACATTATCGAAGTTAAAATTTGTCAATCAAACCTAACAACCATTGTAGGTTTTAGATACAATACAATACAATATTTATTTATTTCCAGAAAAATAAAACAAAACAATTTACAATTTTGGTATGCCAGTGACGATGGAAATAAATAAATAAAACCACTGAAACCATTCAAGGCTAGTGCGCGCGGGGCCTTTACGCATATAAATCCTCGCAAACAAGGTGGTAGCAGTACAATATGCAAGTTTCAAAACACGCGCCGATGTGCAAAAACGAAACAAAATCTAAATCAGAATTCAATACAAAGTTATAAGAATAATAGAAAAAAAAACAAAAAATACAAATAATGAGCTTATATTGGTTAAAAATACAACCTGTATCTGAACAACTTCAATGAAAACAATCGACTAAAATGTGGAATTATACTAAAACTTATAGTATGTACACGAAAGCATATCTGTGCATATCATTGTGTACGTGCCGTTATGCTCAATCCTAAATCAAGTACGTTCAAACATGTCATTTAACTAATTGTTTTTGTCTTTGCTCATATATTAGGGTTGTGTGTCAATGGAAACGTTTAAGAAATAAAGTACGCGCTCTCGATAGTTTGAAAACTCATTTGAAAATAAAATAAAAAACAGAAAAACCTTCATAACATTTTACGTAAGTGAGTACGTAACGTTGCTTATATTGAATATGTAATAAGAAATCGTCAAAATTATAATTTTTTCCTAATATTCCATTCGAGTCGTCTAATGATAAAATGTATAGAGACATGAATATGGCAAGGAATAGGGGTGTTTTTTTTTGTGTGTACATATTACTAAGTCTTGCATTCTTGTACCATTTTCGATGTTGTATTGGGCCACCAGAAGAGATATCAAAAACCTGGGAGAGCATGTTCGAGCTCCTTGTTCTTTATATAAGAATATAAAAAAGATGAAAACAAATCAGGACTTACTTGATGCGTTCAGGAAATAATGGGCGATTTTTAAAGTTTCCTAACTTTGGAACAGGTACACACCAAAATTGTCTTTTTTCAAATAGGACACCCCTTCCCTTGAATTGATTTGAATCATCATAGATTTATGTTTAATATTTCTCAAAAAAACAAAATCATTTTCCTAATTTTTTTCAAACGCTTTGAGTTAGCTTAAAGATTTTTAATATCTCCGCTGGTCTTCAATAGGTACAACCCATTCAAACATGAAAAATGGGCAACCCCGTAGGTGATCTTTCCTGGATACCATAGCAGGTTTGAAACAAACAGAACATACTTAAGTACTTTACACATTTTACAAAAAAAATCACATACAAATAAAAGCTTACAAAAAGCCCAACAATCCACACAACAATTAATTTAAAAAACAGTTCATACATGGTATTTTCTATACCCCATTTCGACGCAGGAACTGTACAAAACGCTAGATAGTCTAAAGTGCCATCAAACATCACCTTTTCTGACTGTTAATTCAACTTTCAAAATGATAGCGATAAAAAAGTAGCATCTACCGCGTCATGCATTTCCGTCGCCCAATGAACCCTGTTGCTGCAGCTGAGTTTTTGGAGTTCTTGGACCACCAGTCGATCCACTTCTTGAGACATTAGCACTACTCGGGTCAACCTACACAAAAATGTATATTGATGATAAACTCAAGAAATATTGGTAAAGATTTTCTACTAAATAATAAATTACAACGTTTATTTCACGCGTTGTATCCGGATACTAAGTGGATTAATGTGATTTTTTCTTGAAGCTACCAACAAACTTCTTAAATCTGAGATTGAGGTGTTTATTTCACATTTGACATAATCCATTTTAAGTCCAATCCTACAAATTTGCAGGATTGGATTAAGTACTCCGATCCGGATTATTTCTCTAATCCTGGGTGTTTATTTCAGGATTATCAATCCCCATTATTAATCCAATCCGCTTAGTATCCGGATACTACACATGAATTAAATGTAGTCACTTATCTTATTTGTGTTCGTTTGGTTCTATTCTTCAAGTTATGAGCAGCTTTCATGTTTGAAGTGAAACTTCTTTACCCACGGTAGGGTTAGTTCGTTTTATGCGAATTGCTTTGTGACGAAAACATGCAACGGAAGATTTTCATGACAATATTGACACTATTGACAATAAATACATTTGAATGTTAACTTATTTAACACGAAATATAGGAATCATTTATTAAAGAAAGAGGCACGATCAACATTGAAAATAGGCCCTCGTAAATTTCAACCTAATTTCAATATTTTAAAGGTATTATCATTGCAAAAAAAATAATTGAAATGTAAAGAGGATCGTATGTCTGTAATAGCAGATAAAGCTTTTTAAAGTATGTAGGTCTTGCTATGCTATGCATAGGGAATATCCCTATGTAGATTTTCTTGAATATCTCGGAAAATAGTAATCCGATTTCGACGTTTTTGGGGTCCTTTTGTAGGTATCAAAACCCAAAAACGTCAAAATCGGATTATTATTTTTCGAGATATTCAAGAAAATCTACGTAGGAATACTTCCTCGGATATTTCCTATGCATAGCATAGCAGGACCTCTGTTGACAAGCTATATCTGCTATATCTGCTATATCCTCTTTACATTTCAATTTTTTTTTGCAATGATAATACCTTTAAAATATCGAAATTTGGTTGAAATTTATGGGGGCCTATTTTCAATGTTATTCGTGCCTCTTTCTTTACAACTCTATTGATTGATTAATTGAATTACATTTTGAGAATATTTTTATTCCATATTTTTACAGGTTGTCTAGTGGTGTTTTTTTTTTTTATTTATTCAATGTCAAATTGTACGCATGCAATGCGCAATTCACTTAGTTAATTTATCCGGCTCTGAAGTGGTTCAGTGGAGTAGCTATAGCGAGACTGCGCCATTTCTTAACCCTTTTTCTTATACACGCCTGGCAAGTCAACATCTTACAGGCCAATTTTAATGAGATAGAATGAAATGTCTAGAAAAAGTCTAAGGTTAAATAGAGAACGAAAACAATTTTCCCTGTTCCACCTCCAGCATAAAGCGCTGGGAATGCTGGAGGTGGAACAGGGGAAATCGTTTTCGTTCTCTATTTAACCTTGGACCTCCTCTAGACATTTCATTCTATTGCATTAAAATTGGCCTGTAAGATGCTGAATTGCCAGGCATGTATATTTCTCTACGATGTAAATCGCATATCATCTTTTTTTTCTCTAATAAAGCCTGTTTATTATTTTTATTTTTATTTTTAATTGGAGCTGGCGGACGAAAAAACATGAAACGAAAAACTTGAACCAATTTCACGCGATTGACCAATCGGTCATCTTGACAGATAAGCAATGCATTTAACGTCAGTTAAGACCAATTGGTTGAGAAATTACGCTAAATAAATTTTGGTCAATCGCTAAAAATTGGCTATTAAGAAGCTGAACGATGAATAGGAAAACGGTAAGAAGATAGACGATAAGAAAAAAAAATGACAGTACCGACTCCAAAACATTTTGCAAAAACAAAAAGAGAGGCGACTAAAATAAAAACAGGAACAACGGGAATAAAGACGGAGAGATATTGACCGAATTGTTCCAAAAGGTTCGACAAGAAGTCAAAGATGAGAAATAGGCACTCAAAGAATAAGTTATTCGTCAAGCTCTGGTTTGTATAAATGAAGCAGAAAATCATAGGGAATATTCAAACCTGACCCACACCTGGGAGTAAGGAAAAAATATATCAGACTTTCTATTTAAAAAACTATCCCTCTTACTGAAATACTCTATATAATAATCCTTGTTTCTCTGTTTTGGAATGTGTCGGCCAAGTCGATATTTTGACGTAAAGTGCCCCTTTTCAGTTCAAGTGTCTTGTGTGATAATTTTATTTTGACATTTCAATCATTATCTATACATACATATATGCCTTTTTTAAATTTAAACACCCAAAACGAATGAAAATACACGCAAAAAGTAAATTACACACTGAGTACTAAAAGCAAAATACAAACTAAAAGGGGATAAAACAATACTTTTGCAGTACTTGGAAATAAAAAAATTTAAATACATACAAGTAATTTTCTAAAAATTCTGAAGATGAATGAAAACTATTCTTCAGGCCAGTATAGAAGTACTAGTTTATTTTTATTGCTGGTACCTATTATGGTGCTCTTAGCAGCACATGTATTATTATTGTTAATATTATCTTACTTTTTCTCCTGGCGGTCGAGGCAGTCGTCTTCTCAGCCACGCATGACGAAGGGCTTGAACAGGTGTCATTCTTACGTCAGGGTCCCATTCAAGACATCTTTTTATAAAATCTAGGAATAATGGATCATCGCAACCCTTCAGGGCTCTCTTTAGGTCTTTAGCCCCAGGAGGTCCTCTAGGTTTACCCCTACGACTTAGGCCGCCAGAAAGTACTACAGTTCCTGCAAAAACATGGATTTCTAAAGTCATATTATCAAGGGGCAATCTGCATGAATGACCGCTCAATGTTATGGATCGCAACTATAGGATTTGTACTCACACTTCGCACTCGAAGTTAAAAAAAAAAATTGTTATTGCCAACAAAAAATTCTATTGGCTATGCTTTTTTTTTTCGATAAGAGACATGTTTTGCTTACCAGTGCCAGCCATAAGACATATAATTTTTAGATGTAAATTAACTTTTTTCGTCGTATACCATCTCTAGACTCTTTCCGTGACTATTAAGAAATCAAATTTGTTATTCAAGGTAGCTATCATAAACCTAATATTGTATTAGATCAAGGTGTATTCAGGAAAATTTGATAATATTTTCAAAGTTAGTTCGGGTTAGTAGCTTATGGCCACTCAAAACTGCTCTACCTGGTGCGTTTTACTTGTTGGGACACATCTGCTGCTGCACGATGAATAGAAGGCCATCGCTCAAGAATTGCAGATGTTTGTCAAATTGAAAACAGCCGTCTTAGATTTTGTGATACTTGACATTAGACGAACTTCAATCACATATTTCAAAAGAATGATAAATCTAACATGGCCTTTCCATTCCTTGAGCATTCGATGTTTTTGAAGAAGCAAAAAGAGGGCCAAAAAAACCTTCCGATGAAATTATATACTTCTACCCAAGGTACTACCCACGTGAGGTTGCATATGTTTAATTTTTGCTTGTTCGTCTTCATGATAATTGGATTGTCATTTTATTTGCAACATAAATGCAGCACTCACCATTATATTTAGAAGGCAACTCAGGGTCGATTACTGCAATTCTTATGAGACAATAAATTAGGAATTAAGAAAAAAGTCTGCGCTGTGAGTGCTTGATCAGAGGTCAAGGTTACCAAATGACAGCCTATAAGATATCCAAACCAAAGACCAGAGCTGTGTCAATATGAGAAGAAAAAGAACCGATATCAGAAATTTAGGGCAAAATAATGACAGAAATTTCAGAATCAATCAAGAAAACTGGAAAGAGGTCTTGCACCGGATGTTACTGTAGAGTATGGCTCGGATCTCCTGCTGATGACTCAGCCATCGAAGGAGAAATTGCAACAGTACAATTCATAAATCAAACATCCTTCTGGTAAATAGCATAACAACGTAGATACATTATCCAGGCAACCATGCGCAGTTGGAGGCAAACACTGCCTCGGAATTGATCAGCGTGAAAGAGTTCCTGTTAGAACAGCTGAGAAAGGATCATTTAGAAGATAGTGACATCAAACCATTTTGGAACCAAACCGGTAATAGATGGCGAACGAATTGGACAAAAGAAAAATCCGACGAACACGCAGAAAAAAAAAACAGGGAACAAGAATATTGGTGAGACATGACTGCTCCAGAAGGTCAATATTATCCTTCAAACAGATGCTCTACAGATTCCTACGCATTTTACTGCAGATAATAGATTCGAGCGCCAATATTCAGGAATCCCAATAGGTATGTGATTTAAATAAACAAGCATTAATTGTAAAGATTTCTCGATTGAATGGTTTTGTGTATAAAGCGCGTAGTTTGTAAGTTGTAGTCAGTTTAAATAGATTTTTTTTTTCGTGTTCTGATTATACCAATGAAAAGAATAGGTAAAATATACTTGCAACATTATTTTATCATAGGATTGAAAAAAAAAAGATGAAAACCATTTTTTTTTTCAGAATGTCTCACTGAAACGTTAGTTTTGTTAGTTCTAAGCCGATTATGTGTGATACGTGGCCCTATACAGGATTAAATTTTTTGCAAAAAGTACATATATGGGAATCTAGCAGCTCTTCTGTTTTGCATGATAAGTAAATTAAACTTCCGCTAGGTACAAGCCAGAAATACATATTAGCAATAATTTTATATGCAATTTGAACAAATTTTACATAAGATGGAAGTGGTCCTAAAAAATGGTGATATAAAAAAAAGTTTTAGACTGAAGAAAAGCGGCAATGGACCAATCTTGGTAAAATTTGATAATTACCAAAGTAAAAAACAACTGTTTACACGGATATGATAAATCGTGACAAATTAAGGGAACTACAGTGAAGAAATGCAACCTGGACGGAAACGATCAAAGACTGTTATTCAATGATGATCTCAGACTTAAAAATTGCACAATATTTAAAAAGGGAACTCAAACAATCAAAAAATTTCAGAGCTACATATGTGAATGGACACATTTACATAAAAAAAAATGATGTGGAACCACCCATCAAAATAGTGTCTGAAAAAGACCCACTACTTTGTTTGTAAAAACAAATACTAAGATTATAATAAAGGAGTGTAAAGGAACTGAAAATTAAAATTTATAGATCTAAATGATATTTGTGATGAGTATAAGGCTCGTGAAGCGACTCTTTGTGATACCTTGTCTCAATTAACCACATTTAACAATAACAACAGAGACATTAATATAATCCATGTGAATGTAAGAAGTTTATATAAAAATTTGGACAATTTTTTGGTATTTCTGTGAGATATTTGATATTATAGATATATCAGAAACCCATATTGTCTATAATAAGACTGATTTTAACATTCCTGGATACTCAGTATTCTGGAATGAAAGTACCATAAACAAGTTTGACGGATGTATAATATATGTTAGAGAACAACTTGTCCAGAGTTGCAACATCAGAGAATCAAATAACCTAAAATATTGAGATGTTTCACTATGCAAAAGCAATACTTTTATTAACATTTTGGGACTTTATAGATCACCAGCTACAGATTTGTATGGTACTGTAAATGATTTAAAAAGCATTTTGGAAACTAGCTTGTCTGATACTTAACAAATATATGTTCTAATAGGGGATATAAATATTAACCTACTCGATACGATCGCTCCAGTAGTGAATAACTACATTACTATGTTAAACTCATATGGATTTTTTTTGAGCATGATTAATAAACCAACTCTTGTACAACATCAAAGTGCTACATTTATTGATAACTGCTTTGTAAAATGCAACAATACAATGTACGATAAGCCAAATCCAGTTATATTATAGAGGGATTTTACTGATCACTATCCCATCCTATTGAATATTAAGCTTAATATAATTAAAACATCTGAAATTAAAAATAAACCTGTATTCCAAAAAATTGATTTTAGAACTTTAAAACAAAAATTTTCCATTGAAAGTTGGAAGGATGTTCTTGAGAGTAATGATGCTGACTTATGTGCCGAAGCATTCATTGCTTTAGTGCAGAAATATGTCCAAATGTGTACTACTATTACTACTGTAAGCAATAAACGAAAAAGGCTGGAACCATGGATCACAGGTGGACTCTTAACTTCCATTCGTAAAAGGGACAAACTCAAAAAAAACATACGTATGTACTTTAAATCCAAATAATTTTGAAATGTTAAATACCTGCCGCCAGTATAGAACTAGCTTATGTAAATTAATCAAGAAATCTAAATATGACTACATATTATAAAACAAAGATTGACCAAAACTTGACAGGACAAGGAAAATTTGGAAAATAATTAAAGAAGCCACAAATGACTCCAATGTTAAATCGGATAAGTATGAATACAATTTAAAATAATCATAATATTGAGGTAACTGACAAGAAATTAATGGCAAATGAGTCAATCCATATATTTCAGCAATGTTGGTCAAAGGCTAGCAGAAAAAATTAACCCACCATCTTGTGAGCCAGGATTTCAGCAGAGAGTGTCTAATCCAGAATCTTTCTTTTTGTCTCCAGTCAGAAAACATGAAATTCTGGAGCAGATAAACAAAGTGTGATGTCTCTAGTGGAGAAGATGGTATTCCATCAGAGGTAATAAAATATAATTATGAATATTTACTGCCACCTTTAAAGCACATTATAAAAATAATTTTTAGTTTAGGAGTCTATCCAAATGTTCTTAAAGAGGCCCAAATTACTCCTTTGTATAAGGGGGGTGATAGGAAAGTGACAACTAACTATCGACCCATTGCATTAATAAGCACTGCTATTAAAGTCATAGAAAAATGCATTAAATACAAATTAATGATATTCTTAAATATACATAATTTATTATCACAAAACCAGTTTGCTTTTAAAAATAATATCAGTACAGAGAATGCATTGTCCAAAGTGGCAGTGATAACAGGGAAAGGGTTGTTGCCATATTCCTGGACTTGGCAAAAGCATTTGACACTGTGGCGCACGAAATTTGATTAAAGAGATTACATGATATGGGTATAAGAGGCTTAGCTAATAATCTATTTGAGGCATACTTAACTGATGGAACCCAAAAAATAGGAGTTGGTGTCCCGCAGGGAACTGTGCTGGGGCCTGTGTTATTTAGCACATTAATGGTATCTTTCTGTATTGAGGGGGGTTTCTGTTTTGTAGATGATAGTGTTATTATAGTAAAAGGCAATACATGGCAATCAACTTTTGAGAAAGCAGAATTAGCAATAACATACATAAAAAGATGGTTAGATTTTAGCTTGCTATCGCTCAATATTAACAAAACTCACTTCATGACGGTCGCTCTAACCTGGGCAACTCTTCCAGAAGTTCAAGAACTCAAAGTTCATGATTCTTTTTGTGACATGAAAACCTTAAGCTGCAAATGTCAGTCCACTATCAAAAGAAAAGACAGTCTAAAGTATCTTGGAGTATTCATGGATGAAAAATTAACTTGGAGAACACACATAGAACATGTAACCTCCAAAATAGGAAAGTTGATGAATTAAAACTATATTCCCGTCATTAATAGAAGGGCACTTTCCAAAATTCACCGGTTTCTGAACCGGTGCAATACCGGTTTAACAGTTTACTCACCAAACCGTTCTAAAATGTACCGACTTGACTTCTTATCGGTTGAACCAGATCGTCCGTTCCAAAATTGACCGGAATGATCAGCTGTTTGAAACCGGTGAGGCACCAGATCCACAGGGAATTTTTGTCGGTTTTTTCGGTTGGAAATGTTTTGACTTTTTTTTTGAAGTACATCAATTGCTTTGAATTGGCACTATTCGTTCGTTAAATTGCCACGATACAACTGTCACAACCAAACTTTAACACACCAAAGGGTTCCAAAATGCATCAGAAAAATCTTGCAACCGAACTTACACCTAACTTTTACCGGAATTTTTTGACAGCTACCGGTTTATTTAATCGGTCAATTTATCGGTGAAATTTGGAAAGTGCCCGAATCAATTTTAAATTATGGTATTGTTGTCTGAGGAAATGCTCGAAAAACTATTATGTCGGCTTTGAATGTAGCACAAAAATACGTAATTAAATTAATGTATTTCAAAAATAGAAGATACCCTTCTAAACTGTTATTCCGTGATTGCAAATTACTGACTTTAAACCAACTCTACATACTAGCGGCAATTCGTTTTATGCCAAAAACAGATTATTATAAGCAGGAGATAACCCATCAACTCAATACTAGAAACGCATTTCGTCAGAACGTTATTACACCTTCTGTGACCACTTCAGCCATACACAGAAGTCTTTGCTTTACTGGTCCTAAACTGTACAACTTTTTGCCAGCTAGTTTTAGAACAAAACAGTACAGATTAAACATAAAATTAAAGAATGGATAGTGAATAGTGAAATAACTATTAAATCTTTTTTCCATTTTTCTATTTATTTCTGTTGGATTAAGGGAAGCGAAAATAATTGCTGAATGATGATTATACACACTGAGCACCTTTGTTAAATTTGTTAGATTTGTTAAATTTATTTATTTATTCCATAAGTTATTAACGTTACTAGTGTTATTATATATTTAAGTTAAGGCAATAAGTATTATTAACTGCATACACAGATTCTCCATAATCCATTGTGCAGTTAACAAAAGAACTAGAAAATGATGGTTCTCAGGTAACATTTTTAACTTTTCTTTTCAAGATTTTTTTTCCAAATTGTTGTTCATGCTTTTGTTACTTACCTAATTGCTTATTATTAAATAGGAAAAGTATATTTTGTTTGTAAAAATGTAGCATTCAAAAAAAGGTTATCTGAAAATTCCTCGGAAAATTCAGATACAAGAGTTAAATTTTTGTTACCGCGTTTTCACTGGAAAAAGTGATCATACAGAAAAAAAACAGCGTGTCCAAGATAAGGATGGGATAGCATTAGGATCTGTGGTTGGAGTTACAATGTTGGTTAGATTAGGAAAAAGTTGCGCAATTTGACTACCTTCTACATAAAGTTTGTTGGATTAGTCTTTCTTTCTTCGATTTCGATTTTTGATGGAGAAAGTAATTTTTTCGATTTTGGCTTTTATTTATTTCTGACGTTATTTTGACAGATATGAAAAAAAAAACACTTTTCCATTGTCACATTTTAGGCTCAACAAGATGACGTTCACATATTTTCAGTGACGTCTCATTTCCCAAAAACCATCATCAGCTTAATTTTTTTTAATGCGGTCCTGTTATTTTTATTATAAAATTTGAATCAATTTAGAATTCTGAATAAGATGACATTACGGTTTTAATGGTTTAAATATTATGTTTTTAGCTTCTATATTTGTAAAAAATAATCAAAATTATTCAAATTTGTGAAATGTAAATACTTACATTATCTAATTGAGTAAGATCACTGTCAGGTTTTATCAAGAAACTTTTCTCCTTATAAACAATTGTGACTTTCTCAATACATATTTTTGAAGCATTCAGAGCCGTACTCGAGAGGTTTCTTCTAAATTATTTCAAAATATGGCTTAAAGAAGCTAAAAACATACTCAAACCATTACATCACCTAATTCAGAATTCCAAATGGTTCCAAATTTTGAAATAAAAATAACAGGACCGTATTAAACAAAATTAAGCTGATGATGCTTTCTGGGAAACGAAACGTCGCAGCGAAACTATGTGAACGCCATCTTGTCGAGCCTAAAATGTGACAATGGAAGTGTTATCTTTTGATATTTGTCAAAATAACGTCAGAAATAAATAAAAGAAAAAATCGAAAAAATAACTGTTTTCAAAAAAAAAAAAAAAAAATCAGAAAAAAAATCCCAATCCTACAAACTTTATGTAAAAAGTAGTCAAATTGCCCAACTTTTACCAAATCATTATACATAGTTAATGTATATGAATTTTTGAAATAAATGAACTTTCGTTTTCCAGCTGCTGGGACCACATGTCGCTTGGTGTTTGTTCAGTTTACAAAATAACAAATAAAGTAAACTTTTGGATACAAAAATGTTGTACTCACCATCACCTATAGTTGAACAATTGCAGTATCTTGGTATGCCTTTTGAACTAATGAAATTTTTTGCCCTTTTTGATTGGTCCAAAAGCCTTTGTGGGGGCAATCCTAATAATTCTATTATACAAGCTAATTGATCTGCTTCGTCTTCACCAGGCAGTAAAGGAAATCCAGTCAAAAGTTCTGCCAAAATGCAGCCTAATGACCACATATCAATTGGCATTCCATAGCGGGCTCCTAAAATGACTTCTGGTGCCCTATAGAATCGCGACTGTATGTAGGTGTATACCCGGTTTTGTTCGTAGCATGATGATCCAAAGTCTATAACCTAAAAAAAACGATATTTGGTGAAATTAAAATGGATTTATCAAGCAATATGGAATATTTTAGGTATTTTAAAGCCCTGAAGAAGATGTAGAAACATTAAATCGCCAATAAACTATTATAAAGTTAATTTATCTATAATATCCTTTAATCCTGTTTTTTTTGAAAGTGGTAGGTAACATTGAATCATTTGCGGGTTGCACTACCTATTCTGAATAACGGCAACTTTTGGACCGGTGGAGTATCGTGGTCAAAAACCAGAAACTAATACAACTCCTTACCAGCTATTGAATAGATCAAGGCAAATCTAATAGATAAAGCCAACACTCAACACTGAGTCGTGGATGAGAATTTTTTTTTGAATTGAACAGTAGGGCGGGCGATCAGTTATAGTTATATTGTTTTGCGAACAGTTAAGCTTTCACAAAGTCTAACATAATCGTAATAAACATGGCAGATTAAGGCATCATATCTTAGGTAGGGTACCGGTCTCACTGGAAGACCTAAACAACATCTCTCCAACTACTATCAATGGGAAGATAGAGGCATGATTGGAGTAATATAAATAGGCATGCGCCACAATAGACCAATGAGTCGCAGTGGAGGGCAGTAATAGGCCCACTCATTTTCGACCTGTCCTAACCTAACCTTTATTAGTAAAAACAAGACAATTATGGTTCTGTAAATAATAAGGGAATTGTTGAAAGTGTTCTCCAATATCAGGATCTGTTGATGAAAGAAAAATTAATGGCAGAGGAACAAAAAACCTATGGAGACACAAGGATTAGAGAACTGAAAAAGCAAATGGATCATCTGCAAGAGGAGAACTGGAAATTGGAATTGAATTCAGAGTTAGACTTCAAGAACTAATGGAAACAAATAGAGAAATACAAAGGGGAAAAAGTTTTGTATTACCTGTACCGGCTGTAAATACGTCTGAGTACCCGAGCAGATTTTGGGAAATGGTCGGGGTTAAGGAAACCTGACTGCTTTCACTGATACCACTTTCAGAAGACAAGACAAAGAACTGGAACTGAGAGTCCCAAAACAAATAGCTTACAATAACCAATATGAGCCTAACATGATAGACCCTATGATGGCTAAAATAAAACCCAAAGATTAAAAAGAGAAATTCACATCCTTCTGAATAACACATCTAAATACTTACATATGAATAATTTTTCTAGATCTAGACACAAATACTCAAGTTTCGAATATCATCCACCGAGTCATGCACCATTAGGTCCAGAATGTCAATATCTCATTTAAAACAAAAAACAATCTACATACACACTTGGTTAATTCGAAAGATAAAATAGATATCCTCTTCAAAAGTCGAATATACACATTATCTTGCAATACTTGCAACAGTTCATATATAGTAGGTATATAGGTAGAACCTGCACAAGGTTGTTTGAGGGAAGTAGGTTGCCTGATAACTTTATGACGTCATCTGGGGTGCCGAAACATAATGCAAATCTCCATAAGGCACCCCAGATGCGTCATCAAGTTACCCATTACCAGACAACCTATTGGAACCTGCAGACCTTTTAAAACACGCACCATGAACACAAACATGAACACCTACCTCACTAGGACTAATTCCGCTTTTGGGGAACATCTTCAGTTAATGAAACATAATTTTAGCGCAAAATCAAATTCGAAGATCCTACACAACATTTCGGAAGGGAGAATTTGTTACACACAGGCCTTATGAGGACAGGCCATCCTGCAGTAGTAGTGTGTATCATCCTTGATCCAATCCATCTGTCAGAAACAAAATTCAATATGGCGTGGCGGCCAAGCAAGTTTATTTTGAATATGTGTTTTTATGCTTATTTTGGTGATTTTGCTTCGAGTTTTGCTTGCAAGTTTGATTTTGAATATTTAATAAAATATGTGTTAACTAGGTACCTACGTAACCCATTGTCTGGCAGAAACTAGATATATTTTTTTGTGTTTAGTTTTGGTCTTGTAAAATGCCGAATAAGTGTGGTTGTGGGATGTGGAAGCCTCCGAGAAAGGCACATTGTTTCTCAAACCTACAGGGTCCCACGCGTGCCCAGTTCAGCATGTTTTCCGTATTTAAATGAGCTATCAGGAAAAAGACGAATAGCATGGTTAGCACAGCGGCAATCAAACGGAACAATTTTTCACAATCTAAAGTGGCAAATCAAAGAGTTTGTAGTAAGCATTTTATGACAAAAATAAACGAGTGCTAATTTACATTATGTTGTCAACCATCATAATGGACTAATGGTTTTATAATAAGAAAACCAATAAGTAAGTTAGAGGATGTGAATAATTCTGACTGGGCATCAAGTTCTCGCAAATATAGGCTCTGCATAATGAGAATGTCTTGTCATATTGCACTTTACAGATTTACCCCTCAGAAATACACTTTAAAGCACATGAAACTGTAAAACCAAAAAAATAGCAGACAGCTAGCACCCGACTAAAAAATGAAGTTTGGCCCGTTTGGCCCATGTTTGGCCGCCACGCCATCTTTAATGTCACGTGGTTTAGATTGCCTAATTGTAATTTACAATTTACATAGAAGAGCTTCTCTGACCCTAACCTCCAACAATAATAATAAATCAAAGGCATCGAAGGCAACATAAACTTAAATATTCCTCGTATACTCTGAGTTCGACATGCGCAGTGTATTATCATAAGATCTGGCGCGTTCAGATTGAACAGTTTGGGCGAATTCCGGTGCAGAGCGTTACCCGTTAGAGGGTGCACTCCGAGTGTACCCGTCGATTCGCCGATTCGCCCAATCTGGACGGTAAAGACGCGGCGCATTCCTCTGTTTATTGGGATGTCTGTCCAAAATGTTTGCCTTTTTATCATAATTTGTTAAAAAATAAATAGTATGGAAGAATAGCCCTAGTGATTTTTTTCATATATGATGACGATTCATTTTCGGAAGACGCGGATGTGCTCGTGATTTCTATCAATTTAGCAGTACAAACAATGAAGTAGTAAGATGGTTGGAATAGCCCTTTGCCTGCCTATCTACTCAATACATATATTTGCGGCCAACATTAGAGTGAGAGAACAGGAGAGATCCATGAGATTTTCCTGTCCTTACTAGCGCTATCTCACTCAGAGTTAGATTGAGAGATATAGGAGAGCCAATACATTTTTTGCCCTTACTAGCGCTATCTCATTCTGGAATGAATTGAATGACGCAAAGCCCATTCCAAATCTTCTTTTTACTTCATTGAGTACAAACCAAACAAAAAAGAAAACGAGGCACCTTTTCTTGAATAGAGTAGAGTAGTAATGATGTGTGCTCTATGAAAAAATCCAGAAGAAAGAAATTAGGCAGTCCAAACCACGTCACCAAAATTACATTTTCAAGATGGCGTGGCGGCCAAACATATCATTATGCAGAGCCAATATTCGCAAGAACTTTCATGAAATTATCCTGATGTTGGTCAGAGGTTTCTAATCTATCAGATTATATTGAGATAATTTAACTTCAAAGTTATATTTAGCATTAAACACGGTAGTTGTCTCTTTAAATAATGCTTACACACACTTTTACTTCCTTTGCCAAGATATCAAAGTAGTGCAATTTTGTTCCACTATAAATACATATTTTAATTAAAGATGTAGGTAATATTCCTTTTTGTATTATCTAGAGATACCTTAATAAAATTAGTGTGGATCCATATATTTTAGAAAATTTCGAGTTGAATTATTTTTTCGCTTAGTGTTCTACTGGTAATATACCAGGATATTTCACGAACATCGAAACAGAGGCGTTTCAGGGTATTTTAAAGTCGATTTAAAAAAAAAAACGTTCGGACACGTAACTTTTGTATTCAAAGGGGAAACGCATTTTTTTGGTGCTTCTGAAAAAATGAAAATTGACGTGTCCGAGAGGAAAGTATCAGCAAAGTGTTGATTTCAGAATAATAGGGCCAGAAAATTGTTTCTCATTTAGCTCATGGCAACTTTGATAGTGAATGTATTGAGAAATAATCATTCGACTTTCAAAAAAATACGCACTTTTGACGAGCATCAAAATACCTTTAAAACCTTTCGATGTTCGTCAAACACCCTGTTTATCCAGATATTGTTGTTAATTCGTTCAAATAAGGTATTTAGGAAACTGGTCATGCTTGGGACACATTGCCCCTGTTTCGTCGACTTTCAAATCTCACAACCCAACCACCAACAAGACAACCATTTGGCACTTTAAGACAATAGATTTTTTTTTCCTCAAGTTAGTAGACTATTCAACAGTTGTAGTCAACAAATAGCTTATTAAATAATCAAACTTGCAAACAAAATAACTAAAATTCGTAAAATTTTACGTTTCACCTCGGTTAGTTTAATGGGCGACGCACGCTAATTGATCGTCTTTCACAGTTGTCAACCCATTAAAACAAGTCCCGCCTTCATGTTTGTCTTTAACCTCTTCCAAACCTATCTTTCTGGAAATAGTTCCTCGTTCTCCATAATAAGTTAATAATTTAAAATTGTTTTTATTTAAAAAAAAAATGGATCCGGGTACCCATTGCTTTTTTCTTGAATGACAATTAATGAATCGTTGACCAATAGCAATACAATTTTTCCATTGTCAGATAAAATGGGACTGCATGGTTATCCGCATCCACGACAAAGTATTGGGAGTGGGTCGAGATATTTTCCATTTTTTGGAATATTTAGTTTAGAAAACAGTTTGAACCGTTTAGACCAAGTCAATAATAGTTATTTGTTAGTTTATGTTGTTTTGTTGTTGGACATTTGAACCTTTTGAAAGTTTACACACATTGCGCAGCCGCGACAAATCTTCACTAACTATAGTGGGTGAAAAAGTTATTCGCCGTACGAATTTTCACTTGAACTGTGAACGCGGACAAATTTTACCCGGCTAGAACCATGAACAGTCTTGACGGAGCCGGGCGTCGTCGGGCGATCGCACGGCGATAACTGTAAACGCACCCCAGGATTGCTTATCGGCCACGTTTTTGGTAATCGCCACCATAT